TATTTTGATTTTTTTGCACCCTCAGATTCCAGATTTTCAAATAGTTGTATCTCGGCCAAATATCCTATCCTAACATCAATGGAAAGCTTATTTATTCAGCTTTCAGATGATGTATAAATCTCAATTTCAAAAAATTGACTCTTATGACTGGTTTTGTGGTCCAGGGTCACACATATTCTATGAGTTCCACATTCCCTTGTTTGTGTGTGTGTGTATACAGTCAAACCAAAAATTATTCAGACACCAGATATAATTTTGATATCTTTTTACTAGTGGGTGAAGGACACTATAGTTCATTTATGTAAGGTATGCACTCACAAGAACGAGCGGAACCATTGTCTCCGCCCCTTGAAAAGGGCAATGTGATAGCACTGTATCTAGCCCATCACTGTGCGAAATAGTCAGTGACTTTCAATGGGGTTGATATTTAAAAAATAAATAAATAAAATGAAACTTATTGTCACTAATTTACCGGCGTTGGTGTTCGTCTTGCACAACCCAAATTGTATTTTGGTAGCCTACCACCTTAGCTAAATGACTAAAAGACGTTTTAAACAAAACATTACGTTTTGTAATATATTTTTGATGTCTAAATATATGATTATCTTGTAATGTAAATTGTATGGTTTCCAAAACGCTTTGAAAACATTTTTAAAACATATAACTGAATGTAGCCTAAATGGAATAGCCTACCCCCAAAGCTATTATTTTGATAACATTTTAAAACATCTATAGGTAGCCTAATATGCAAGTCCCTTTGTCATTTTTTTTTTCTGGTAAAGTTTTAAATAACCCAGTCTACATGCTTGTGTTTGTTTGAGTAATGTCTGCACTTAGAGAGAAGAAACACACAAGTTCTGCACTTCTGCTATAGAGTGGCAAAGCATGCGACAGGAAACCCTGAGATCAACTTGCTGGAAGTGTGTGGTTTCTCTCACTCTCTTTCTCTCTCTAAAACACCATATAAGAATGCTAGTCTGTATTTAAGCATTTTGCAACACCCAAACAAAGTTTTGCATATTCTATATTTCGAGCACATGCAATTTGATAAAGCTGGTTCCTGCTCAAGTTCATGGATGTTCAAGCTTTGATAATATGGTACAGGTCAGGATGTAATGTGCTCAGAGCATATGTGCTTATTGTAGTTGGGTGGGGTTCCCCCTGCGCAAACCTGGAGGAGAGAGGGGAGCGGGATCAGCAAAGGACCTCGAGGTGGGAATCAAACTCGGTTCGCTGTGAGCGCAGTTGCGCTGTATGTCAACGCACTAACCACGAGGCTATCGGCACCGATTTTTACTGTATTTTTGATCATATAAATGCAGCCTTGGTGAGCACAAGAGATTTCTTTAAAAAAAAACATTTGAAAAAATCTTACTGACAATATCTTCTTGGTATTGTGTGTAATGTTCTTAGATCGAAGGTTTTAGGTAATTTCCTAGTTATTTATGCAATAAAGTTCTTGGTGTGTAACGTTTTGTGGCAAAGTGAGAACAAAGTGAGTGAGACATGTCTTTTTCTCGGTTTCAAATCATGTCTCCTTTCTCCTGTTGGCATTTTTTGTTCTTGAGTCTCTGTCTAATGACATTTCCTCTTGATAAAGCTGGTTCCTGCTCAAGTTCATGGATGTTCAAGCTTTGATAATATGGTACAGGTCAGGATGTAATGTGCTCAGAGCATATGTGCTTATTGTAGTTGGGTGGGGTTCCCCCTGCGCAAACCTGGAGGAATCAGGCCAACACCTCAAGCCAGATAAGCATCGGCATGACAAAAAAATGATACCATGTATTTTTTTTTTTTATGTTTTAAGCAAGTTTAGTTTTAGACTTTTTCAAAAAACATAAAAAAAAAAAACCTTACTGACACAATTACGTGTTCTTAGACAGAAGGTATTAGGTAATTTCCTGGTTATATATGCAATAAAGTTCCTGGTGTGCAATGTTTTTATGGCAAAGTGAGAACAAAGTGAGTGAGACATGTCTTTTTCTCGGTTTCAAATCATGTCTCCTTTCTCCTGTTGGCATTTTTTGTTCTTGAGTCTCTGTCTAATGACATTTCCTCTTGTCCCTCTCAGCAAGGAAGAGCATATTCTCTGGAGTCACACTCCATGAAACTGTGTTAAATCCAGCTGAGGCTTCTCTCTTACTGTGATACGATCACTCACATTATCCGTGTGTGTGTGAGTTGGTCTAGAATAACTTTATTGCTGACGATGGTGTTTTGTTTCCATGGCAACTGCTCGGACCGGTTCCCTTTGCCACTGAGGAGATGAGGTGAGTACTCCACATGCAGCAGATGGTCAGGAAGAGGAAACTGCTAAAGAGGCCAGAATACTGGTCAAAGAGAGAGAGAGAATGAGAGAGAGAGAGAGCAATTATCAATGGATAAAAATTATGTGCTGATGCCATGAATGAATGAATGAGGGACAAGTGTAGTTATCCTCAAAAGGAAAGCGTTACTAAAACTAAAAGATCTGTAGGTATGTACCTGACAGACAGGGTCAAACAATCTTAGACCACTGAAGCAGATATCTATTTATATAGGCTATCCTCCCTAGCCAGATAAGCATCGGCATGACAAAAAAATGATACCATGTATTTTTTTTTTTTATGTTTTAAGCAAGTTTAGTTTTTAACAAAATGATAAAATTACAGAGAGACAGACAGAGAAGAAAGAAAGAAATATGAAAAAGAAAGAAAATTGTTACCCCCTCATTTCCAAAAACCCTCTGAAATTTCTGTTGGTTAATATCCAGGTGGATCTGAGCTGCGGTAACTCCGGGTTAGCTCCTTTTCTATAACTCCCTTTCTGACAAAAATCCTTCCTTGTCTGTCAGTAATTAAGTTTAGCTTCCTAGCAGAACACAGAACATGACCTCAGACAGGTCAGAATGCAGAAGTAAATGGAATTCCGCTGCTGTATCCTGACCGTCTGTTATATAATTATTCTCCAGTACTGTCTATAAACGCATGCCATTATG